AATTGAGGATTTCTTTTTGAGATGAAGATCATTCTTGAGCACAGAGATTAATGTTAAAGCTTTGATCCTGCAGGTCACCTGGTGTCTGAGGCATTTGCAGTAAAAGTTATGTCCCCTGCGTTCCTGGGTAGAATCCTCAGGATTTCTACACAAAAGGTAGAACCTGTATGGCACCAGTCCTGTGAACTCTCATGGTACCACTGAGATAATCTCTTTGGTATGTCTCCATTCCTTTACTTTTCAGACTTTCATTATGAGGAGTAGTGTGAGATGTCATTCAGTCCCCAGCAATGCCTGTGTGGAGGTATTTGAGTGCATCAGTAACCTCACACTCAAATGGAAGACCACAGTACTTTGATCTGGGTCTAATAAACTTTCCAGTATTTCTACAGGACTCAGGGAAGACTCCATCTGTACTGGTAGGAGTTCAGCTGATCTGACTTTGTCCAAAGCTTGTCCCTGCAAGAGGACAAGGGTGAAACCAGCTGTGAGATTTCAGTGCAAAGGTAGATCTCAAACAGAATTTCTGTCCCATTTCCTTCAGCGGAGGAGGCTGTGGGAGAGAAGCTGCTGTTTGACTGATGTAGGTAAATTTGAAAAGGAGTGGCTGCTACCCTTTCTGATTGCATCTTTTCCCAGATGCTCTTTTTCTGTTCCCTGGTTCTCTTATTCTGTAGGGCTGATACATAATTACTTATTAGATGGCCTGTAAGGTAACTGGATTGGTTGGACTCCCTTTCCTTTAGGGGGAAGGAGTGCAACCAAGCAGGCCCTCCCAGCAGCACCCTTCATGGTTCAAGAGGCATGCAAGCACCAGAATTGAATTAATTCCAGATAACCCATCGTAAGGCCAAAACAAAAAATTGTCAAAACAAAAACTTGTCAAAACAAACCAAAAAAGCAAGTACTTTTCCTTTCATTAATGCTGCATTTCCCCTGCTTGGAGCTGGTTCATTAAACTGAAAATTGCTCAAAACAGGCATCTCTGTAAAGAATGCTTGGAGCAAAATTAATTAGTTTTGCTAGGTTAGTAATGCACCTTGCTTGGACCGAAATTAAAATTATTTTTTCAATAAAGCCACAACACTTTTTATCAGAATTGTCATTAGTTGTAGGAAATAGGAGTGTGAGGGAAGAATTTGTCAAGTCTAATTTATTTATACAGTGACCCTAAAAATTACTCATTTGCCTCATGAGATGCAGCAAGATTTAAAGTAATATCTGAACATCACCTGAGCAGTGCCGATGTCCTGATGTCTGTATCCAGTCTGAGGAATTTCCAAGCCATCCTTTCACCTTGTTTAGAAATAGATGGGTAAATCATGCCTAAGAGCATTCATAAGATGTCGAAAAAAAATTTAATCTGACCATGGTCATGTTTGCTGTTCTTTTTTTTAATCTAGATTCAAGTCCATTTTTAAGTTTCAGTACAGCTTGAAGAAGAGCTTTATTTTGTAAGAACTGTTTGTGAGTGGTGATCCACTGAGAAATTTTAATTCTACAGCTGTTTCTTTGATACTTTAAATGGCTGGGTTTGATACTTTTGCGTGGCTAAGGCAAAACACAACTGCAAGGTTGGATGAGTAAATCTTAAGAATTGGTTTTTTGTTCCTGCAGTGGATATCCTCAGAAAACTCTTGAGTGCCACAAAATTGCCCATCACAGAAACTAGGTTACAGGGAGCTCATGGAGACAACACCCTGCTAGGTATTTAAAGCAGTTCATAAGTTTCCAGCTGGTGCACTGAGAATTTTGGCTGGAATTTCCAAATAGATTCACTTAATGATCAGTGCTTACTTCTGGTAGCATTCCTAAGTATTTTTTTTTAAGTGAAAAATGAAGATATAATGTGTGATAACATCACTTTAGTCTCATCCCATGAGAATATTGTCAAATTTCTAATTCTGACTGCAGTTCAGCCTTATCCTGGTTGTCTGGTTCCCTCTGTGAATAATTGAGATGTTGCTGTTGCATTTTCAACAGAAACAGCATGATTTGGGTTTTGGGGGAGGGGTTATTTTTGTTTTTCTCAAAGACAGCTTTTCATGATTTCTTCCCACCAACAGTGCTCTTGTTTCTCATGGCATCCTGACTGTGTCTTCCTGCTTTGTTTGGTTTTTTGTAATCCTCTCCTTTTATGTAGATCCTGGTACTGAATTATACTTTTTTTGTGTGGCATTCTGCCAAACACAGAAATATGGAAATAATAGGGACAGTAAGTATCCAAAGTATTTATCACTTTGGACAATTTTATTCCTGCTGGAGTCCCTAATTTCCTCTTTTTTCCCATCTCACTGCTAATCTCTTATTTTGTTGATTGATATATTCATTAGACTATGGTGAGGCTTTCCCCCTTTTTTTCTTCCTCCTGCACAGAGAACATTTCTGCTGCAATATCTTATTTTTATGCTGTTGATCAGCTCATTATCTCTTTCTCAGTAACTAATATCTTTTTAGTGTATTTAGACTTCTTTCATGGTACCAGATCCATGAAAGGAATAGACACTGTTTCCTCACTCCACTGTTACTATCACGCTTCTGAAATTGTTCACCCAGTTGAAAGTATCAAATTCCTTAACTTAAAAATCATGTTCCCTGTGTGGTTTAGATGTCCCATCAATCTGACAGGATATTTCTCTTCATGGGCGACTCCATGGGGCCAAAGGTACAGCCTAAGCCATGTCTGCACAGCCTGAACTTGGTGGGAAAAGTGTTTTTCCTGTGTTTTCTGTCCACAGAGGTGGAAGAATTACCATCCAGAATTCTCTGTGTACCTATCTAATCACACAGTAACTGAGGAGTTACAGGTGACGTGACAATAGTCAGTACAGAGATATTCCAAGGGTTTTTCTGGTGATTACTGTTCCCTTCTCCTGCTCCAGCTTGGCAACCACATGCATGAAATGGAACACTTGTTTTAGTGTGATAGGAGACCTATCCCAGGGTTTATCTGCTGCATTAAAGCCAGTGTGTCCAGCCTGGTGTCTGAGCTCAGGGTACAGCTAACACAAGGGAGGGAACAGTTTGTTTGGGGTTCGAGGGCTGGCTTCAGGCAGGGGCAGAACTGTGTGAGGAGTTGATTTTGGGAGGGAGCATCGGTACTTTGGGTGAGCTGAGTGATTTCTGATTTAAAGATTTTGAAAAGTCTGTTTTCTCATTTAAAGGATGCAACAGTTCTGCTTTTTTGGTTTTGCTGGCAAAAGCATTTACTACCAGTGGTGCTAATTTTCAGTATTATTTTTCCTGAAATGAAGTTGAATTCAGTAGTTCTGAAGGTATGTGAACAAGACTCTGTTACATCTCTATCAAGTGACTTCTAATTTTCTGTAAACATTTTACAGCTGTATTCTCACTCAATCTGTCCAGTTGCTGTGGTGCCAACACCTTGCCTCGTGGTGCAGCAGGTGTTTCACGAGGCAGGCAGTGATTTCAACCTGCTCCCACTTCACACCACAGATCGTGACAGCCCCACTCCTCCTTTGTCACTGCAGGCTCTCTTCTTGTCTCCAGATTGATGTATCCATTTAATTAATGGCTTTGGGAGGGTTTTTGGGTCCACAGATGATGCCAGGAAATAGGAATTTGAAGGGGGACACTGTGTGGGAGCCCCTCTGCTCTTGTCCCACTCACTGTTTGTTGCAAAGTGATTATAAGTGATGTTAATTTAAGGCACTTGGCACAGGATTTGAAAAGGGAATACATGCACTTGGCAAGCACTAGTTCTTGGAAATCTTGCTGCAGAGTAAAAGAAACAGTAACTCCGAGACAAATCTATTTATTTGACACAAACTACCTCCATGAGAATTTTCTTAATACGATCTCTTCAGTGAATGCCTTTTTGTTTGTTTTATAGTATTTTGTCTTTGAATGGCTTAGTGTTTTTTGCAGAAGTGTATTGTGTTTAGGACTGCTTGACAGAGGTTAATCCTGGAGGAAGATATCAGGTCTGCTTTTCCTGTGAGCTGGGGAGGTGATAGAAATGAGAAAGGAATTAAAAGTCTTTAAAAACAGGACATAAACTAAAAGAAAATAGTCTGACATAAATAGTTGTGCTAACTAGGGAAACTGAGAAACATCAGAAACTACGATCCCTTTTATTATGTGGGTCAGAAATGTAGAATATTTTTGTCAAAGCAAATGCAATATTACTCTTTTAATTGTTACTTTGACAGTGAAGGTAAATAAATTGCTTATGACTCATTACTCATTACTTGCTAGGAAATGTACTGATTGTGAAAAAAATCTTAGGTGATGAGTGGGGGGATTGTTGAAAATGTTACCATGTTGTGGGTGATTGACATCCATCAAAAACTGAGACTTTTTAAGTGGACTTTTACACTGGGAGTATTAAGTAAATAATTAATTAAATGGATAATTCACATTTACTCCTAATAAACTGTAATCGATGTGTAACATGTGAAATATGTGTTCTAAATATCAAGCAAGAATAACCGCAAAACCAAAGTTATCACAAGTAACTAGCCAAGCTCTGTGTTTGAGGAAGGAGTGCTAAAAAGGTTAACAAACACCTGTAAATGCAGTTTTGCCTTCACAGTGGGAACTGAGCAACATTACTTGGTAAATGGTGAGATTCCAGCTGTTCCTATTGGGAAAATATGTGTATGTAAACTAACCAAAAAATCCTAGCTATCAACAGGTAATTCTGAACTTCTGGTCTGACTTCAACCACTGCCAATTGCTGTAGCCAGGGGGAATCAATCATTCAACATTCATTGCTCACAAATGGCGTTTAGACCCCTCAAAGAGATAATGAAACTCAGTGGCATCTTAAAGTATGTTCAAGAGCGTGGAAAAGGGAGGTAGTGGTGCTGATACAGAAAAGTGAATGAAATCAATACAGGGGACTGGCAGTTCAACAGCATCCAGAAAAAGCACATTCGTGTGAACCAGTGCCTTGCTGAACACAAACAGCTCTGAGAATCTGTTGGGGTGTTTATTTACAAAACTCAATATGTCTGCGTTACATTTATCCTTGACAGGTATTGTTTTAAGCATGTGGTACCTTACTGTCTACTTCTCATCAGGATCATCTTGGAAACTCAGCAGAAAAGCTCAGCGTTTCTCAGGGAGGAGTAGGAAAGTACACAGGAGCATCTCGGCTCCAGCAGGGGTCACCTGCCCTTTGTTCCAGGCATCGTTCTCACAAAAGCTCCTTTGCACTGGGTTTTTCTCATGCTTCTCTTTGCAGGAAAGTGTCCGTGGAGCAGCACATCCTGGGCCAGTAAGTAGTTTCCTTACAATATTGAGCAAACATGCCAGGTTCTGTCAAATCACCATAAAATTATTACCTTGGTTTTGCACACTGTTTTGGCATAAAGAGGACTCCATTACACTGTTTTTTAGCATAGATTGTTCTTATAGTGAAAGTGCCATGGAAAATGACTATTTACCCCATTGTCTATCAACTGATAGGTAGGAAAAAGAAAGTACAGATCAATGTTCCTACACTACTCAGTATTCCTCTGTAGTGCTGCTTAGGGATGTCGTTTTACTATGTGTTGATGATGGTTAAAGTCAAGAACCAAATACTTAATAAGGATTTAATTACAGCAGTTAGTTATTTAAACATTTCTGGGATGCATTATTATAATTAATTACAGTTATTAATTACAGGGCTCAGTGCTTGGCTTGGAAAGCTGTGTGCTGCTAAGGTCTCCAGGCCTTCTCCGTCAGCCTGTGAGTTCTGGGGTTTTAGGGATGATGGACCCTCCTGGGACAAGCACTGTCTCCCTACTGCCCTTTGTGATTGCTTGCTGTTGTGCCTCCCTGTTCCCAAGGTGGCGTGTGCAGCCTGTGGGGAAAGGAGAGGGAGTGGGGCAGGAGGCAGAAGGGCTTGTTTGCCCTCCAAGGCGAGCTGAATGCCCAGGGCAAGGCAGAAGGAATGCACGTCTGCCAAATTCACAGGGCTGTTCCAGCACATGGAAGCTCTTGGGAAGCTTCAATGAGAAGTACTAAGACCACCAAACAAACTGTTTTTTTCAGTTCATTTTTACAGTGCACAATAGTTCTGATATTCCCTTTGGAGCCCAGTTGTAATGAAACTGCAACCTGTAACTTAAAGAGTATTAAACATGCCAGAATTCCTTTTTTAATCTACTTTGATTGCTGTATTTCCCAATCTAGATCTGTTACATCCTTGATAAATCTTAACAGACTCTGTGTATGTGTTGGAAGGATATTCTACATCCTACTAGATATATAAAAGTTTTTGTTAGCTTACTATCAAGTAGTTGTTTCTGTGGAGTAAAATCAGCTCTTTAAAACTTGAGCTTAACCCCGGTCCCATTTCTTGAAATGAGAAAGTTTTCAAGATCTTTTTTTCAAACCTACCTTTTTAAAATCATTTGTACTTCTAAGAAGAAGATGGAGATACTTTGACAGTCTACTTTTACTTCATCCAATCACTGTAGTTTTTGAGATAGAATTTCTTTTGATGAAGAATCTTTTCTGGACAAAAATTGTTTTCAGACAGACAAGCTTTACATGCTCTAGAAGTTCTCCAAATCTTACTTTGTTTCCCAAGATTTTAAACTTTTTTCTTTAAATGGTGTCAGTATCTCACACAGTCGATATTTTTAAGACCAATCAGAGCTATAAATATATGTATATTTGGGCAGAGTTTGGGCACATAATATCTTGTGGAAGCCCCATGCCAGTCCTGCTGGGGTTTCATAGTTGTTTTCTAAGACAACTGTTGTTGTGACATCCCAAACTTGGGATTCATTCATTTACTAACAGAGGTCCACAGCGCTGTGCTGTGATCCTTATAAAGACACAGGCACCGGTGATATTTCTAAAAATATCCTGTTATGTTTCGTAGGAAATTAATTTTGATTGACAGCTTTAAGAAGGTCACATTCACTTAATTAGGAGTTGTGTTCAGGCCTTCTACTGTTGTTTCATAAAGATTACTCACATTTTTGTGCAGTTTAAATTTCTCAGAAAACTTAAGATGCAGCAAAAAGACAGAACCAATTATCTATCAAGCACTTGCATAATCCTAAAATATTCCTTTCTGTAAGTATATAATGACAGTGTGCACTTTTAAATAAATTCTTCTAGCAGCAACAAAGCTGGGGATTTGATAAGTCTCACAGGCCAATTTCAAGTGAGCAGAAAGAGACAATTTGTCACAGTCAAGTGATCTTAGGACCTGCTGTCTTTATTTTTTTAAACTATGAAATATAAAAATTTAATGCTGTAATTTTATGGAGATGTTCCTAACTCAGTTCATAGGGATTTAAATACAGTGAAGTAGCAGTATATAATCGTTTTTGTGAGAAAAGTTTTGAAGTCAACCTACCTACATAAAAATAACTACCAGTCTGTAGAAGTTAGGGGAAAATATAGAGATAAGTGCATGAAAAAAATCTTCGGTTATTTTATACATCTGAGCTCAAAATTCTTGATTTCTCCCCCCCCTTCTCTCAACAAAATGGACTCTGGGTTGCACCTGTTTTACTCATATCAAACTCACAAGAGAGGATGATTTTTGGCTCCATTGGACTTTTTAAGTTGCTTTTTCCAGTTTCCCAACCTCATTTGTATGCTTTGCACAGGGACACCAAGCATGGTCTGAGCAGGATTTTTGACAGAGTTAATGAACATGGTTGTCCTTCCTGCTCTTTATGCCTCTTAGGCAGTGGAAATGTTCTGCAACTGCTAAGCCACTATAAATAATGCAGGTGGTAAATAAATGGCAAATAAAGATTTTGGAGTAAATATAGTAGCATGATTAACCTTTTACATTTGCTGATACAGATGGTGAAAATGGGCAAATTGAATTTGAAGCAAACCTGTGCTCCCCTGTCAGATCCCTGATCCTCCCTTCCTGAGGCTGGGATTTGGGGGAGCACTCACCCCCCTCACCTGCCAGCACCTGCATTGATCCCTTGGCTCTACAACCCCCACAAACCTTCGTGACATATTTCTGTGGTTCTTTTCAGTGGCCCTGAAATGAGTCACAGGATGTAAAGCCTGAGTGCTGTTGGGGGAGAGGGAGTGTTTATTTTCATGGATTAAAGGGAATTGTGTTCTGTGAAAGTGATTTGGCCTGAACAGGAAAGTGCAAAGTTTCTACTTAGAAGTGATTTGTTTTTCCTCCTATTGATGTACTTTTGTCCTAAACTTTTAACCTTAATTTATATCAAGAAAAGTGACTTCTTATATTCCTGTAGTTCTTCCAGTCCAGCTTGCATGCTGGCAAGTGAGCCATGGCACCCATATATCCTAAGCAATTGGGTTTCCTTGTCCAGTGTAGCACTTCCAGTAAAAGCCCTCTACAAGAACTGGGTGCTGATCATGTCACCCAGTGCTTTACAAGGCTCTGTATTTTCTGTGTCTAAGCAAGTATTCAAGTGTTGTCTTACTAAGTGTTTTTTTAATCATAGTAGCTGGTGTGGAAACCACTATTAGGACCTGGCTGTGTTGCTTTGCCAGTTCCTTGTTATCACCTGATCACCTTAGGAGGAATATTGACAGTAGTGAGCATGAGTGGGCAAACTTTGGTTTCTGGAATGATTTAGCATTACTGCATCATACTGTGCAATACCTTTATCTGCTTCAAGTAAGTGAAGAGTAGCTTCAGGGAAGCTTCTGGATTTGATACTGTAGAGAAATATCAACAGTTACAGTGCAGTGTGGCCAGATGTCATTTGTTTGACATAATGGTATTGCACTGATGACTCACTTATTACCTGAGAGAGAGGACTCATAATGTTTTTTCGTTATATAATAAGAGAAAAGGTGAGTCTTGTGTCAGGTTGTTGACTTTCTTCTAAGAAATGGAGTACAAAAATCCAACATGAGCTGATGAAAGACGAAATATTCTATAGGACAAAAAAAAAAGGTAAAGTAAGGTGTGAAAAATACCTAACTATCCTGAAATTGGGTGAAATGGAAGAAGATAGCTTCATGTGGATTTCTTTATCTATAGTTTTATGTGAATTTCTTTACCTTTTCTTAAAAAAGAAAAGAAGCCTCTCTCTCACTCTCTGATCACAGCAGCACAGTAGCAGTGTTGCAGTGAGTAGTGTGTTATCTATGGCTTTTGCGGCAGGCAAACAGTGCACATTCTGCTGCTTTTATGTAGTCCCTTCTATTGCAGTTTATGAAGAAATGGAATTATCTTGGGAGTCAGAAATGGATAATTAGCATCAACGACAAAATGCAATTATACTTGCAAAATTAAGCTATTTGGAGAAGATTGGGTTCTTTAAGTCATGGACTAATTTCAACCAGAAGAGGGCTACAGAATGTGGATTCCAATCTTATATTAGATATCCTTTTCCTGACTTCCCAGAGCAATTGATGGTAGCTGCAAAATTTACATATAGCCTTTGAATTCTTGCCAAGCAGAACTGTCTGCATCCAGAAATTAAATGAGGCTCCATTTCTGTGTTAAAATACTGACTAAACGTGGAAAGGAATTTATTGAATTAATCCATGTCAAGCCTTTGGTTTAGTCTTTTCTGTTTTCACATTTCATTATTCTTGAAAGCTTTTTCACCCCCTTTATTACTCTGTTCCGAATTATCTGCAACTCCTTTCTATGTGAAGTCTTCCACCAAATTTTTTTTGCATTACTACATTGACCAAATCACTAATGGAAATGTTAAATAGTGCTGACTACAGGTGGAGTTGCACCTGAACTGCACTTGATTAACACTTGCAGAGGATAGACTTCCAGTTGGGTGTGTGCAGCTGCATTCTCACGGTGACATTGATAGTGTCCCTTTGTGTTTATAAGAACATCATGTTGGGGTAACATTGAGGAGCAGGGGGGTGCTTCAGGCTGGGCACCACAAAGCTGAGAGCTCCTTTCAGGAAATAAAATGGGACTGATTTGGTGTTACACGGCTGCTTGTTTGTAGCTGCCTTAAAGCAGTGTGCAAAGGCCTGCAACTTCAAAATATTCTGGAAAGTTAAGCTTACTTACCTTATTTATTTTGGGATGTGGCTGGTGAAGTTAGGGAGTTAAAGATGAAGAGAAAGTTTCATCTAGTGTTTTATGTCATGTACAGCGGCTTAGAGCAGGATCATCAGGTGACTTGGACAAAACTAACTTAGTAAATATTCTTCAGATGATTCTTCTTGTGCGGGTGAGTAAAGCAACACAATCAGACTCCTTCCTTCCATGGCTGAGGGTCTTTATCCCTGATCCAGCACAGCATTTTAACTATCCCTAGTGAATATCCCTCTGAAGTTAGAGGAGCTTTATCTTGCT